AGCTGCACTCTTAGCATGCTCAAGCTACTATTTCTTTGTCAATAATAACATATTTTATCCATCTCTCACACCCATGACTTCCAGGAATTGTTCCAATCCTTTTTTGAAGCCAGCTAAGCTGGTAGTCAGCACCACATCTTGTGGTAGCAAATTCTAAGTTTAATTACCTGTTGCGTAAAAAAAAATTCCTTTTGTCCTGATTTTTCCAGGATTCAATTTCATTGGGTGATACTTTTTCAGAGAGAAAGTTTAGCACTGTAGAAGCTGCAGCTGAAGCAAATAAGATTTCTCAGGTAAATGGCTCCTGATTCGAAAGATTGGAACATACATTCCCCTTTCACTAAGTGCTGCCACCCACTTCTGAGATCTGTTTCTTACTGGGGAAGTCTGATAGCAGCTCTTTATAAGTGTATTGATGTATTGTAGTTTCATGTGGTTGCCTTAAGGCAGACCTCTAATGTGCTGCCTTCAAATGCCTTGCTCTCAGCACATCTGGGAAAGCTGGCTTAAAGATTTATGTATGGTTGAGCCCTCACAAGCAATTTTTTGTAGAACAACTCTCACGAAGCTCTTTAGGTTCATATGAAATGTTGACTTAGCCCACCTGGCAAAGATACGGTATCAGATCCTTCAGGAGAGGCATACTATGAGTCCTGTCAGTTAAAGAATGTTCACCAAGTGGGACCAGAGAGTAGGCTGTTTACGCTGCAGTACCTGCCCTTTGGAACACCATACCCTCACCTCTGAGATTACTTTGGTCTTGGCCTGCCCAGCCTTCAGAAAAGCTTTAAAGACCTGATTCTGCTCCCAGGCATGGGGATGGGGAGATTTGCTGGAGTCTGTGGGGCACTCTTAGTTTATTGGATTTGTTTTTACCTTAGTGATCATTTTAGGCTTTCTATATTGGTTGGTTCTAGTGGTGGTTATGTGGTCTGGTGTTTTCTTGCCCAGAGTCGCTATGGTGAGATGAGTAGCCATACAATTTAAATAAATCAGTGGTGTGTCAGCCAATTCCTGGCTATGACACAGGAAGAAAAGAATAAGTTTTCCTCAAGAGCTCACATGAGGGCAAATATCAGAGCACCTTTAATGTACAGTATTTTATATGCATGATAAATAATAGCAGTGTTAGTGGAAAAAGTATTTTGAAGGAATGAGGGAGTTTTCTGAATGAGCCTTCCAACTGCCTTTTTCTTTACAACTCCTTGATTTCCTCTTGCAGCCGTTCACCAACACTAATGTCTTTTGCTGAGTCCTCTTATTGCCGGTCATTCAAAGACCATCATAACAATAGCTGTGGATTCACCAGGAAACTGGTGCTTCTTTCTCACCCATCTTCATGCCCATTTCTTCCTTCCACTTTATATCTCTGCCCTTGTGAGCACTTCGAGCTCTTCCTCAGCTGGTGCTTCTCCACAAGCATCCGCATCATTTCAGTAGCTGAAAGAAGTCTTCTGTGGACATTGGCAGCTTAGGGAACAGTCTGCTTGGTCCTTTGTGGCAGAAGACTGTCACTGACTTAATCAGTGGTAATGGAGATGTGGGTCTTCCTGCCAAGAGAGCTAAGCTCTGCTCTCTTTTTGGGTTCCAGATTGGGGAACTCAGTAAATCTTGGAAGGGGTTAAAAAACTTCTTTCAGGATGAGAAGAGTAGTTGCAGAAGTAGGTGTACGTGCAATAGATCTATTCTGGCAGTGGATCCCTTCTAGATCACCATCCCAATATTGTTTCATGTTACTTTGGTGCAGATCTTGAAGATGCTTTTGAACATTTTTTTTTCTTTTAAAGGTACATGCACACATAGTCCATTAAGTCTTGGGGGTAGGAGAGGAGCCATCAGTCTGTATGAGTGCCCAAGAGCCTGCCATTGCCCTGAAGTGGGCTTAAGAGTGTTCCAGGAACACCAAAGAAGTATTGTAATACATACAGAGGAAAGCTAAGTCTTGGGGGAAAGTGGCTGCCATTGGAACGAATAAAGCACCAGCTCCTGCAGATTAGGGCTTAGGGGTGCAGGTTGTGTAATAAGGGAACATGGCAGCTGTTGTGACCAACAGACTTTGTAGGCCAGTGACAAAAGGAGCCACCAGGAAGGAGGATGCCCATTCTAGAGGCTTGAGATCATCTATTCAGATCAGAGCAGCAGTCATGAGAACAGATGATACTCAGCAGGGCTGGGCACGGCCAACAGTTCCAAAAAGATGACACCACGGTGGGGAGGGGGAGGTGCAACTTATAGCCATTGGGTTGCATCTACAGCCCTTGTAGCACCATGGGCTACACTCCTGAAATTTGGGGCAAACTCAGGTTTTGAGTAGCACAGTGTATTTTTTAAAAACGTTTAAGCATGTTAAATCTCTGCAAAGTTGACACACCCAATTTTTATCTAATCCCCAAACATCTCTCTAGCACCTCCAAATAGGCTGACCTCCACCACTGGTGATGCCCTCAAATCACCCCGATGCCTCTTGCAGCCTCTGAACCAGAAACAAAAATCCAAAAATTCCCCCCCACCCCGCTTCCCTGAGATTGCCTTCTACTGATCTAAACTAAAGCATGGCTGCTTCTGGCAGTTTCTCATCTGAGTTTGGAGAAATGTGACTCTGCCCACCTTCTAGATACAAAATACTGCTTGGCCAGACCCCTCAGGGAGGAGAAGGAAAAGGAAGAGGAGAAGAACCAGAAGAAGAGCGGGCCACTCCCCCTGCAGCCCTGAGTTGTCAGCTGGGTCCTATAGCTTTCGGAAATTGCAAAGGTCTTCATCCCCATCAATTTTGAGCCCCTGCAGCAGTGGGAAATCCAGCAGGGCCCCATCCAGGAAAACCGCCTCCTCTTTGAAGCTGGAGCTGGTTGCTCGCTCTGGCTGGTTGCTGTGGAACCACAGGTTCTTGTAAGGCTTTGGGCTGGGGGTCAGGCTGCGGAGCAAAGGTTGCCTGGAGCTGGAATGTATGTAGAGGGTGGGCGATGCTTCTTGCTGACTGCGATAGCTGCCCCCCAGTACCTTGGCATACTGAACAGACTCTGGGCTATTCATGTAGGAGGTTGGCGTTGAGCCCCCAGTTGGTAAAGCTCCCTTGGCTTCACGGGGGTAAGAGTCAGAGAGGGCTGCTGGGCTGTCCTCCAGGGCTGGGCTGGGCTCACTCTTCCCACAGGAAAGGCACTTTTTCTCATCTGTTTCAATCACTAAGATGGCAGAAACAATGACAGGGCTGAGCTCGCATGCCTTGGGAGCCTGGAGGGTCTCCTGGGGAAAAAAGGCAGGAGAAGGGACCATTAATGACAGCAGGCAGGCCACTAAGGAAATCCAGTCCTAGCTTAGCACAAAGGAGAGTGCCATCTCTGCCATCAGCCACTGGTTGCCATAGAAACATCCTTAAGCGGGTTCTGATGGGGATGTTCATTTCTAGCATCTTCATTCAGAAGTAGACCGCCATGGGACAGGAAGGCTTTACAGGTAGTCCTCGCTTACTGACTGCCTTGTTTAGTGACTGTTTGATATTACAAGAATGAAAAAAATAGCTTTGCAACCAATCCTTGCGCTTATGACTGTCGCAGCATCCCACAATCACATGATTGCTATTTGCATGCTTCGCAACCAGATTGCGACAAGCAGAGTTAATAGAGAATGCGGAAATAAAATAAGTCATCAGTCTGTCGTGGTCACATGATTTTCCACTTAGCAACTGTGGCAGTGGTCCCAATTGTGGTCACTAAATGAGTACTACCTGTATACTCTGGTTATCAGCTAGCAGTCCTCAACAGACTTGTGTTCCCTGGACTAGCTCTGGGGAAGTTTAGATTCCAGTTCCTACTGAAGCTGAGAATCACTCACATTCTTAGCCCAACCCATGCAGTCATTACAAGAGTAAAATGAAGGGATTTCCCCTTAAGCTCCTGAGAAAAGGCTTGATAGAAATGGATAAATAAAGAAATGAAATAAAGCTCCCTTAGCCTATGCAAGCTCTACCTTGCAATTGATCTGGGCTGAATTTTAGCTATGGATGCCCTCATCTCTGCATTCTGTATGCAGAACTCCATATGCAGAACTCAGTAGCTCAGTGCACTGAATGACAGTCAATGCATTTTGGCCTAGTATTTTGTGTGAACGCAGCTCATGTAATTAGTTCATGGCTCAATGAGTTGTATGAACCTAGAAAGCTGGGTTAATTGAGCTGTCGATCAGGGTACATATATTGTGCAAATCCAGCAAGTGAAAGTTGGCAGGGTTGCTCGTGCAGTGGGGTTGATGCATCCAACTGTGGGTGGAAGGTTCATAAATCAGCAGCTGCTGCGCAAGGAAAGAGCAGCACCGTAGCTTGACAGCCGCAGATTTACCTCCTGCAGAACAGCAGGGGCCCATTTGCCCAGACTGCTGTTGGCTGGGTCAGGGACACTAGGCCAAAACTGCGTCTTCATCCTGTGGGTGAGCGGGGGGGAGGAGGAGAGAGAAGGACCTGGTTAGTCTGGGGCTATGATGGCCGGAGGGCCCAGCTCTACAACCTGATGGTGGCCACTCCCTGTTCTGCTCCTCTCTTACATGTGAATCAATGAGAATCTTTTGAGACACGGACATCAGCACAGATACCTGGAACGTGGGTCTTGGGGGAATTTCCTCTCAGAGGAAGCAGCTGCTTCAGGAGGGAGATTCTGATAAATACGTATATGAGTTTTGGATCTTTTTTTTTTTTTTACGCAGTCTGCATCCTACGTATCTAATCATGACCTGTGATTTGGTAAGCTTTTGTTTCATACTGGCATTTTATTTTTGTTTTAGCTTATAGACAAGTAAACACATTAATTCTTCTTAATTCTTTAGTGGCAGAGTCCTCTCCTCAAATCTTGGCACCAGTTCCTAGTCATTTTTGGAACCTCTCCCAAACTCCCCACCACATTACATGATTTGATGTCAAGAGAAGCTGCACTCGATTTGAAGGAAACATTACCATTTTCCCCTCCCCATGCTGTTGGCCTTTCCTTCCTTGACTTGGATAACCCTAAGTATCCCATGAAACAGGGAAATATTCTGGCATGGGTTGACAAAAACACTTAGACTAGAAGGGGCAGCAGACTTCAGGCATGCCATCTCACTCTCTTTGAAAGACCTTGTTCCATCCTCTCTGCTGCCACTTCATCTTCAGGTCCATCAGTGTGCAAAGGTCCTCTGCACCGTCCAGGTGTGGTCTTTGCCCTCCTCCTCCTGTACTGCCATAGGACTCTCCTTTGCCTCTGGCCCTCACCCCACTGTCTCCTGGCTAGAACTCTGCTATCTCCTGTGCTTGTCCACAGTACCCTCAAGTCAGGCACCAAAGTGAAGCTCTGCAGCTTCTGGCTTGCTCCTCCACACACCTTTTGCTTTTCTGAAAGCAGATGACCATGCCGATTATCATGGCCAAGAGCAGCCCAATGAGTAAGTACATGATGGTGATGTCCAGGTTGTCTGAAAGAGAGAGCAAGGTATTGGGTGTTGGTGGATTAGTAACTTTATTAACTTTTAAAACAAACAGTAAAAATTAATAAGAACTAATATTAAAGAAAGTAAAAAGACTAGAAAAAAGAGTAGTCAAGATCAAAAGTGCAGAAAACAAGACAAGAAAAAGCAAAGAAAAAAATTGATTTCTGACCCTCCTCACAACAGATATAAGTAGCAGTATACATCAAACTCTTGCTCTAAGTATACACCATAACTTTCATTATTTCTATTTACCCATATTATTTCTAAGCAAATCCATACAACATAATTTCATTTTTTTCTGTTTCCTGCAAAAAATCCAAAAAAGGTTTCCAGTTAACATCAAAATTACTATCTTCTCAAATCAAAGCTGTCAATTTCACCATCTCAGCCAACTCCATCAACTTCACCATCCATTATCTTCCATTGTAGGTAATGTATCTTTCCACCTTTATGCATATAAAAGCCTTGCTGCTGTTATCATATGTAAGAACAAAATTCTATGACTTTGTTCCAACTGTTTGTCCATCAAACCCAAAAGGAAGCTCTCTGGTTTTGATTGTATGTCAACCCTTAAAATCTTCTGAATTAAAATATGTATCTGATATCAATTTTTTTTGCTTTTTTACAAATCCACCGGAGATGATAAAAAGTCCCTTCTTGTTCACATTTCCAACATACATTCAAAGGGCCTTTATACATTTTAGATAATTTTTCTGGTGACAAATACCAACGATGCATCATTTTATAAAAATTCTCTTTAAGATTATAATTGTAAATTTCAGTCCTTTCAACCATATATTCTCCCATTGTTACATCAATATGTTATAACCAAACTTTTTAGCCCATTTTACCATACAGTCCTTAACTTGTTCATCTTTTGTCTCTAGTTTCAATAAGAGTTTATACATCTTTGCAATAACATGTTCATCATTAGTACATAATTCTGCTTCAAATTCAGTCTTACCATATTCAAAACCATAAATCCTTTTATCTATTTTAAATCTTTCTTGAAGCTGTACATAAGAAAACCATTGACAGTATCCTTCTGATACCAAATCCTTTCTTGTCTTTAAAGTCCCTTTGAGAAAATTCCAATATGTCACCATAACCATGTATGTTTAGTTATCATTTCTCTTCTATAAAAAGTTTCTTGTGGTGACAGCCATAAAGGAACCATGGGTATTGCTGGATTAGCGACCATCTTCCCCACATGGAACTAAAGAGGGGCACTGCAGAAATGTAAAACAATGTCACTCTTCTCATTATTTTCTATTTGTTAAAAAAAGGGCTTTTTCATGAAAAATATTTTTATGTTAATATCTAATTCGTTTAATACTGTTATTTTTACATGAATTAGGTCGTGTGTGCCCATAGCCAATTGGCTGCACTGCCACTGTCCACAGGTCTTTGACCAAAGTAAAGATGAATACATCATCAAGTGAAAATTTGTAGGTGTGAAAAATGGTTGTGGTGGGGCTAGTTCATGCAGGGAGAATTGCTCCTAAAAGGAAGAATGAGGTTGTGCAATTTGGTCTTTACTTACACAGGTGGGCTTGTGACAACTGGTGGATGGGAGTAGGAAGCCCAAAAGGATTAGCCCCAGCTAACCCTGCCTTTGAAGCAGAGGGTCCTCAAAGAATAGCTGTGGAGAAAATTCCAAAACTTTGGAACATTGCCCTGAATGCCCAGGAAGGAGAATCAGTTTTGTTTGCCTTTCCTAGGGCCTTTTGTTGTTTCCTTCACAGTAAGAACAGCAATATAAAAATATTCTTGAAGGCAGAAGGATGAGTAGGATTCAGCTTTGTGAATTTCTGATGCCTCTCAAAAGTTCTCAAAAGCACCAGGAAAATGGGAGAATCAGGGAGGTGGCTGTGCCTGCCACCTAGGTCATGCAAGTCAGACACACATACCAGAGAAGAAAGAGGAACGTTATTATGAAGCACTGAGTCAGAACAGTGAGCCATCTTTAGCCAACCATTCTGCAGAGCAGTGTTTCTTAAACTTTTGCTCTCGGGACCCCTTCCCACTTTTAAAAATTATGGAGGATCTCAAAAGAGCTTTTGTTTGTATCAATATTTACCATATTAAAAATTAAAATTGATGCATTTGTAGAATATTTATTTATTGAATCATGTAA